GGACTCATGATTGTGACCATTTGGTCGAATTTCTCGATTACTCAGGTTCGAAAGAAATAATAGAGATTTCATTCTCAAGAACACAGGTTTAATAAATTATCTCTGAATGATGCAAGTTACATAAACCTATATATATATATATATAAATTCATTTAATATTCAATTTAAAGACACTTATTCTCAGCTGTCGCTCAATACTTAAGAAGATTTAATCGGCCTTGCGCTCACTGGAGAGGAGAAATGAAATGAAAGGCACACTTTGATCATGAATGAGCTTAAGTTTCGATTTATTCTGCCAATCCCCTGCAGAGCTTGTTTATTGATAAATTGGGGAGAAACTAAGCAAACGTAGCCTTATTTATGTTGATCAGTCTGTCTTTGATTTTATTTCCCCTCTCCAGTGACCGGAAAGCCGAATAAATCTTCTTAATTTTAACATTCAATTCAATTCTTTCGAAATTACGTATGTTCTCAACTCAAATGCAATAATCAATTGAAAGATTTTTCTCCTAACGAACATCAAGTAAAAATCCGTAAATAGTCGAGAACGTCACTTCTTATTCACAAAGTGTACGTTTTTTAAGACTTTTATTTTCTTTTTTTTTTCACAAATAAACGCAGAGGACATTTCTTTTTTTTCTAATTCGTTTTTAATTTTATTTCATTGTATGGAATAGGTGACACAAATACCCATGGATAGCAAATCGTTCAACCCATTCCATTTTTACTATTTCATTTATATTTTTATGAGTGATGGAAAACCTTAACCATGTATTGATGTTATAAAACTCAAACAGAAAAATATAGAATCTCTGTTAATTACCTAATTATGTTGGAATTGAATTACTTCATTATTTGAAATTTGATTAAGTATATTTAATATAGTTATTCTTATCCAAAATGATTTTGAGGGATGTTGGAGAAAATGGAAACAACATCTATCTGATTGTCATTCTACGACATAACGATAATTGTTTTAGCTTCATCAGGCTCATGATTCGATTAATTTTCGATTATTTTTCTCGGACCGCTGAAAATTAGAGATTCAAGTTTTTTCTAATCAAAAAATCAACTTCTGAAAAATCCGCTACGTATTTTTTTGCGAAATAGTTTTTTTATTAATGATCACAAATTTTTACTCCTTAATTATGAAAAATACGGGAGAAGATACATTTTGAAGTCCATTGATCAACCTGATAAAGGTTATTTTCAAAAAGTTATTTTCAATGGATGCATTATATTTTCGAAAATAAGTTATAAGTAGCAATTAGAATGAGTGAATTTCACAAACGAATGGAAAGTGAATCGAAACAGTACGGAAAAAATGCACCTATTCGAATTTTTGAGAGGAAGTACGCTAGCAGATTCTGGATTCCTGAGAAGAGCCCTCTCAACTATAAGAGTAAAAAAAAGGCTAGGTAGATGTATGGGGACCATTCAACATCGAGTTAGTAATCATAGGTAAATGAAGTTTACACATAAGATTTGGGCAAGAAAAATTTTTTTCTTCAGATAATAAACATTTTGGTAAACGAATTAATTAAAAAATGCCGCTCTAATTAGAAATATTCTCCCGCATTTTTTATAATTAAGGAGCGAAAATTTCAGATCATATTTGAAAAACTATTTCGAAAAAAAAAATACCTTGGGGATTTTTGTTAAGTTGATTCCTGAGGAAAAATGGCGCGGAAAATAGTATTTTTCAATTTTTTTTTCGAAAAACGAAAAAGTTTTAGCATGGAAACAAATGCAAGCAACAAAATTGCAAAATGACAATTAGGTAAAAGTTGAGGGGAAAAACTAAAAGGGGGAACCCCCCTAATGCCTCCACTACTTCGCTTCGCACCCCTCACGCGTATCCCTCTGCGCATGTCAATAATGGCGGTTTATGTTAAGGATATCCAAGTAGTTCAGGCAATTTTTTCTGGGGAAATCCGCTTCAGAGTTTATAGACTAGACCAAGAGTATTTTTTAGGCGCAGTATAAACTTTAGTTTCCGAACATATTTTCGAGAAAACGATTTTCGAAAGAATGAAATTTAACACATTGCGTCCATAAGAGCTGTATACTGCCACCTTCAATCCAATAGTTCATAGTCTTAAAGCGTTTTCTCGTACACATAACTGTATATGACTTTGTTCGTTATACTCTCTAGTTTTTTTTGCGACATTAAAAAACATAAGTTTCCGGACAGATAATTGCAAACAATCAAATTAAAAGCTTCTTGATTGGCACGACGGCCATATTGGGTGGTTTGAATCCGTGCGTTCCTGATGTCTGGCAACAGTCCGCTCAAGTGACTACTCGGACCGAATTTACGAGGTTATATGGAATACATGTGCAGTGTTGCCGTATGATCATTAGAGGTTAGACCAACGAGAGTCAAGTGTGAAATTGAATAAAATATTGTTCAAAATATTCATTGAAGAAATTCCTGAAAAAATGTATTCGACAATGATAAATCCGAAAAAGTATGGGGACGGCAAGATTTTCGACAAAACTGAAATCTTGCTTGAAAAAAAGTTGCCAGTTTGAACGAAGTACTTGGATATCCTTAAGGTACTTGCGCAGTAAGCTCAAAAAACATAGGAGTGGGGATAAAGATTGTGCACTCTAACCTCGTTTTTACGTCCTATCCTCCAATGTATAACCCCCAAAAAAATCATGATTTTGACGTACTTTTTGAATAACAACTCATGATTCCTGTGGTCATGAATAATGAAATTGCAAGAATGTATTTTGGAAACATGTACGGTGCGATAAATCAAGTATTTGGATTTTTAGCATATTGTCCATGGTCGTCATTCCCCATTGAAATGTGTCTCATAAGGCTCTGTACAAATGACAATTTTAATTTTTTTCTCTACAAAAATCAATGTGGTAAATCATGTTGGGACTTTCGGGACAACGTTCTAATTTATTGAAATAATATATTCTCAAAATTTCAACCCTGTAGCATATTTCCTTCTACTCCCATATGACTACTGCGAAAGTACCTTAATCATGTTATTTTCTATGGGCACATGAGACTAATTGTGAGATAAAATCACATCATCCCTTGAGTCGAACAAGGAGCCACAAGTGGCGTATAATTTTGAAGCCATTCGTTCTCATGTATTTTTCATAGTAATAAGAAGGTGAGTAATTAGAAACTGAACCCGAGTCGAATGGTGGAAGTCATCACGCATGAGAAAAGTAAATGGAAAAACAATTCTATTGGAGTTTTATTGAAATTTCATTGATTATTTTCTCATCCTAAATTCAACCAATAAGAATGCAGGATTTTACGTTTTGTGGTGGCGGGTGATACAATTATTTCTATAATTTTTCGTCTATTCTCATTTTGTTGTATGGCCACCAGAATTATCGACGAACAAGTCGTAAATATTATATTTGTTCAGATAGATAAAAGTCTAGTGTCAAGATGAATCGATTTAGAGGAGTTTATCTAGCTGTTATGGAATAAAATATTAAAACAGGTATCCCAGACAGTATAACAAGGGTCAAAATCGTTGTATGGAATGTTTTCTGCGTTTATTAAGGCCTGGGTGGATTATCTTTCGAACGTTATCTCGATTATTTTTCCATCTTCATAATGTAAAACATATCACAATTTCCACTGGCTTTTACATCACGCAGGACTCCTTAAAAGTTATAATTGTATAATCAAAAAAAGTAGAAAAGAAACTGAACATTTTCAAAGAGCCTTTTTAATAACGATTAAAAAATAAGGCCAATAGAGAGGAAAAAGTGAATGTATAATTTATTATGGTAACTAACGATCTGACAGCTACTGACTACTGTGACAAATGACGACCTAATAGCCATTAGATACATCAAATTATTAATTTGCAATTTCCTCCCTATTGGGTTTATTTCCCAATTTTATTCAAAAACACTCTTTGAAAACGTCCAGCTTTTTTTTCAACGTTTTTTTGATTGGACAATCACAATTTTTGGAGATTCCAGGGCTATGTAAAACTGAATAACAATTGGAGATCCTTTCAGATTATCAAAATAAAAAAAAAACCAAGATCACGTTCGAAAGATAATCCACCTGGGCCTTAATCGAAAAATTTAGCGCCTTCTCTATCGAATTTCTACTGAAAACTCTAGAAAAATTTTGTTGGAGTTCTGCTGAAAGATTTATTAAATAAAACTATCGTTTTTTTTGCGCGATTGAAGATTATGCTTTGACTTTACCGTATTACTTTCACAAGAGATATTTGATAGAAAAAAGTCCGTAGATTTTTCTATCAAAGTTTTTCATGCGTATTAAATTCAATTGTCGAAATGGATATTAAATTTACGAAGATAAACACGCATGAAAAAAGTTGATAGAAGCGAATTTCATAGCGAATTTGCTGAAAATGTTTATTTGAAACTCTTATGGAAAAAATCAGTGGAATTTGATCTTTTTATACAATTTTTCTAGTAAGACATTTTAATAAAATTGGTGCAATAAACAAATGGAATTTTTAAATGGGATTCTAATAGAACTTCAATAGAAATTCAAAAGAATTTCTCGGAGAAAGCACTTGGTCTTTCATACGTTTATCCAATAATTCGTCTCATTTCTTTTCAACATTATAATATTAAAAAGAAATCAGTTGAATTATTGGATAAGCTGAGATCGCGACATGGAAAAGAATCAAAATGAATCAATAAATGGATGGATGAATTTGACAAAATTTTATTGCAATGATAATTCAAATTAGCTGAAATTCTAAATTAACTGAATGTTCATTGGCGTTAAAGTAATGATGATTTTAACACTTTGTGTAATGAGGATGATTATGAATTATTATTAATGAAAATAAAAATTGGCAGAAAAAGAGCACTATGAATGAACATCAACATCGTGGCCGTGGCGGCGCTAGTCCTATCGTAATTTAGAAAAAAAAACTCCTTGGTTGGCTCCTTTTCTCCCCCACTCCGCCCCGACCAACCCAACGTGCACGACAGTGCACGATCCAGCCGGCAGTCGCGTTTTTTGTTTCGTACTGTGTTGATATTCGACGCCGGTATTACGTCACTAGCCTCAACGCAGTAGACAATAAAACACGACGTGTTGTGATACTCGAATTTTCCACGTTCTCCTGAATATTTGGAAATATCATTTCTCATTTTGTTGGTGCAAAATCCCTCTTTAGGGCTTGATCGAGATGACTGGCAGGAATCCCTTCGACGAATTATCACTGAGGTAAATGATCAATTGATAATGCATTCAGTGCTCGAATCTTGTAAAACGTTCTCATTGTTGTAGTTCGATGTTTTTTGTCAATTTTTAAATGTTTTCTAACGGTTCAATATCGAGATTCAAATTAAAAACTGCAAAGTTTCAAATGAAAACTCTGAGATTCGACTACAAAAGTAGAAAAGCATTTCACTGGAGAACAAATAGCTAAAGTACTTGGATATGATTAATTGCCATTGACTGGCTAACCAGAAAAATTAAAAAACATTTCAGTAGTGAAGTGGTAAAAGGAGATAAGTCAATTTTGACTATTGACCAGTTTTCAATCAATATCTCAGAATCTAAGAGAGAGCAAAATTTTTGTTATAACCTTTTTTGTGGAGCTGATTGAGTGCTACAATAAATGTCATTACGAAAATTTGACTATCTCCCTTAGATTCGGAAATATTCCTCAAAAACTCAACTGTGAGAGAAGTCGACTTATCTCCATTTACCACTTCACTACTACTGATTTGACTTTGGCAATTCAAGTGTCTGCAAAATTATAGTTGATTTTAGAATGAACCGATTATCTCTTAGATGTTCTGGAATAAAACATTTCTTGAATGATTTTCAATGAACCATTGAATTCAGTTGCGTAAACTTTAATTTGTGAATATTTTGAATACAGGGATTTAATCTCTGAAGATGGGACAACGTTCAATGTGGGCAGTGAATTCACAGACATTGATGAGGAGTATTTGTACAGAGAAAAGATGACCTTCACTGATGAAGAATTGTTAAGGGTGATCAACATGCAAGAGTTTTTCGACGACGATGACCAAGTGGAGGAAGAATGCGATATTCCTCAATCAGTTGGGATACATTTTGATAAAATTAAGGAGAAAATGGAAGATTTGACTGCAGATGGAAAGGTAAGGTCATTTTCTTCAGTTGAAAAGTGTCTATTATGAAATGATGAATGTTTACTATTTATTAGAAGAATTTCTCTCTACCTGTTGCAGTCTGAGGGAGAGATTGATTCAATTCTGAGAGATTGTCTCAATCCTGAAACTATATTTAATTCTGTATGTGAAGAGGAAACTAAGAATCTGCTGAAAAACATGATTTTTACAATATTTCGACATTTCTAGGTGTTTAAATGAATTTTCCGTTAAATTTAAGTGCGCAAATTCCGCAGAGAAGAAAAGTTTCTAGTTTTCAATAAAAATCGCTGAATTTTTCAACTTGTGGCACTGAAATTTAGGGAGTATTTTGAAGATTAAATGCTAAAATAAATTCTTAACAGAAGTTGATATGAATTGAAACAGTCTGGTTGAGTTTCTGCTTAATCTAGGTCTAGTATTATTGATAATAATTAATTTGAAAGTGTCTGCATAACACAGAGCCCTATCAGAAAATGAATTTCTTGAGGTTAGGGAGAAGATTAAAATATAGAAAAAATCTCGTAACGTCGGCATAAAAATTGACATTTATGCATCAAAATGAATGCTAAATCAAATGAATGGAACACCAATGATGAATTTTCTTTGGTCGTTTTAAATTAATTTTTCTTCGTTACACTCAACGATCCAACAGGAGTTTATCTATATTATTTTTTGAATCCAATAGTTCTTACTTTGAGAATCAGAAGGTTCTTAATCTCAGAACCTAATAGCACTTGATTTTAGGATATCCAAGTACCTTGACTCTTTTTTTTCTCCAGTGAAATGGTTTCCTACTTTTGTAGTCGAATATCAGAGCTGTCATGTGAGCCCCATTTGACTCTGAGTCTCCGGATATTTTACAATGATTTTATTGTTTAACAGTTCATTCTTGAATCTCGACAGTCAACCCTTAGAAAACATTTTTTAAATCTGAAAACAATTTAAAAAGTTTACTTTTGGAGAAAGATTAATTAAATAATTTATCATTTGTAATTTTTTAAAATTACGAGCAATTTCTATGAATAATTTATAAACACTCAATTTTTCAACATAAAAATAATTTATTCGGAATCGTAAACAATTTATTAATATTCAGAATATTACCAGAAATCGATTTCATGCTTAAAAAAATAAGGTTTCCAAAAGTTTAAACAATTTTAATTCAGTAACGAAGTGGTAAAACGGTTGGAGTCGACTTATCTCCCAGTTCAGTTTTTGAGGAATATTTTCGAATTTAAGGGAGATAGCGAAATTTTCGTAATTACAGTTGTTGTAGCCCTTAATCGGCTCCAAAAAAAGATTTGTTAGAGATTGAGGCTAATATTAGGGCGGATTGGGGACACGTGATATGGAAAGCGTGAAATTAAAGACACGCGGATTACAAATACACTGGTGATGTACTTTATTTGTGGCGCAAGCCACGCGTCTTGATTTTAGAGATACACGAATTGGTGAATGTCTCAATGTCAATTTGATAATAGTCTTTACACTGCACTAGAGAGTCTCTCGATACTAAACTTGATGATTGACTCAAAATGATTGATAGTTAACTCGGAATTAATTGATAATTGAATCAAATAGAGACGTTACACCGAGCGCTAGACTCAATATAATACTCGGTGATGTACTCGATACTCGGTTAGTTTGATATTGTACTCTATAGGTACATCTCTGACTAACCGATGTATACTCTTTAAGGAATAGATTGATACTACTACAATTTTATATTTGGCGATTTGCTTCGTGATTTGCCCGTAAACCCGAAGGGTCCCGAAGTCGGTCGAAATTTTCCGTTGAGCCCGGTAACTTTAGATAATGACTTATTTGCTGCGTTTCAAACAAGATTATAACAAAAATTTTGCTTAGATGTTCCTTAGATTCCGAGATATTCAGTCAAAATTGACTTGTACCGTCTTACCACTTCACTGAATTCTACTGAATTATTTATTTATAAAGAACGAGTGTTAAAAAAAATAATAATTCTCTGCAAAATGGAATTTGAATGGCGCTGAATATTCATGATTTTTTTCAAATTTTTCTCACGCAATTTAATTGACAAATTCGATGATTGAAAATGGTTGAATCTATAGTGTGGTCTGTACCAAACTGTAAAAGAGACAGTTGGATCCTTAAGGATATCCAAGTACTTTGGCTGTTTTTTCTCCAGTAAAATACTTTTCTACTTCCGGCGGACATCCGAATGCAGCTGCGTTTAGCGCGGTTAGTACTTGGATGGGTGACCGCTTAGGAACACCCTCGCCCAAAAATTTTGGAAGGTAGTCAGTGTGACAGAAGGGTACATTAGGGCTCTGCAGAATCGGCCGACTGTACGACTGGGGTTTTCCCGGTTTTCCATGATTTCCCGTGCAGTCCTAACCCGAATGGGATACAGTTAAGAATGAGGTGGCCCATGGCAACGCAGATAAAAATCAGAAGACAGATGTGGGAGAGGCAAGGCAGGCGAATGGGGAACCTATAAAACCGTAATGGTAGTAGGCAAGAAATAAGAACAAAAAAAAATACTTTTCTACTTTTGTAATCGAACATTAAAGATTTCATTTAAGCCCCAATTGACCCTAAGTTTCTGGATATTTTACAATGATTTTATCATCTAAACTTTGCAGGTCTGAATTTGAATGTTGATATTGAACCGTTAGAAACCATTTTTAAAATCTGAAAAAAAAAAGAAATTTAACTTATGAAAGAAGATTGATGAAATAATTTTAAAATTGTAATTGTAGAAAATTACGAGGATTTTCTACAAATGATTTATAAACAATCAATTTTCCACCGTAAAAAGATACTTGGATATCCTTAAGCACTTTTGAAAAATCAGGGCGTTCTTTGTACCCACAAAAAAACCTAAACATAAATTACGTTTAAGACGTCGTCTTTTACGCTTGAAGTTGAGGCGTAAATTACGCTCAAAATCGTCGTAAATTTCGATGATTTTTTTGTATTTTTGATAAACGTAATTGACGTTTTAATAAACGTAACATACGCTTTGTTTAGGCGTAATGCACATTTTTATTTTAACCGTAGAATACGCTTTTTTAAAGCCTAAATTCCGATTTTGATAACGGAAAAAGCCACCAGACATCATATTGACGTTAAGTGTAAATTACGTTTATCAAAACGTAATTTACATTTAGGTTTTTCTGTGTGTACTGTATATTAAAGTATTATTCTACTGGAATTAAGTAACCGGTTTCTCTTCTCAGTATCATGTCTTTTAGAACCATGAGTTCCTTAAATTCAGTACCTTGGTTCTGGAAACTAGAAACGTTTTCTGTCGGTGGAAACAATCCTACGAGTATAAATTTGTTCAGGAAAGGATATCGTAAAGATGTAACACTTCGACATTGCGTTTCTAGTGGAAGATAAATGTAGCAATAGGAGTGATATACCATTCGGGTGTATTCTTAGGAGGAGGTGTACCCATAGGGGGTTAAGTACTTTTACTCACCAACCGCAATTCCTTGTGAATACTTTTAGGTGAAGAAATTAATAAGGCAAAAAGGTGTTGGGCCAGTCATACCCCCAGATGCACTCGTGACCATCAAATACTCGGGTTACTTTGAAGGAGAGGACGAGCCATACGACTCATCGCACGCACGGGGCAATCCTGACAGATATCAACTAAATGACGGCCAGCTGATACCGGGGTTTGAGCTTGCTATCCAGAGCATGAAGAAACATGAAATTTCCATCTTCTGGGTTCATCCTGACTATGCATTCGGAGAACTAGGATGTGCTCCACTCATTCCACCTAGTGCTGAGATCATGTACGTTATTTCATTGATCGATTATTTGGACAATGCCTCTGTCAACAACTTTGAAAATCTTAGCATCGAGGAGAAGAAGAAATTCCGCAATGTGAAAGATAATGTCGCACATATTTTCAAAATTGCCGCTGATGGATTCAAGCAGAGGAAGTACAAACAGGCTATCAGAGAGTAAGTGCAAGTATATTTGTTTATTTTGTTCATCAAGACTGTTTGTCTATCATTTCGAAAATTGTGATAAAAATAGTAGAAAGTATTATTTGTGTGGAATTCATACTGGATTAAATTCATCACAAGTTGCAAACAAATAGTGATGCCATTTTTCACATATAATGGGAAAATACATTGTTTTTTTTTCCTACTTTATGTGTGTATACATCAAGAAACTTGTTATCTTTCAATCTGTTATTTTCCGGGAGAATACCATGGAGGTATCGGTACCTGACAGTGTACGGGTATGCGACATTCGACACCACTGTTTTGCTTCTATCTGTAAAATAACTTTCAAAATAAGTTTTTCATCACACTATCTGCCAAACGCTGTTACGGATATTGTGAAGAACAATTATGTTCGTCACTCTGCCGAAAACAACTTTTCTGACTTGTGTGATTGCATCCCTCGGCTTCGCCTCGGTCTGCAACCCTCACACTCGTTAAAATAGTTTTTTTCGTCATTCGACATACGGGCTAAAAAAACTTTTCTAGCTCATATGGACATCTTTAAAATTTTAATTTGTTAATATCGACGATCATCATGTTTTGAAAACCGCTTGCATTATGAAGTCACACAGGTACGAGATATCGCTACTGGTCTTTTTTCACCTTTCACATTTGTGAACGGCGAAAATAAATAGCCAATCAATCTTTTTAATGACATTTAAAAAAAATGTTTATGAGATTCTCAACTTTCATAAGATGTGAAAATGAATGTTCATCCCATAATCCAATTCATAAATTCAAATTCTTCACAAATTTCATGTTCAGTTACAAAAAAATCATGAACTTCCTTGAGGAAGCGGAGCTGGAAGGAGAGGAAGACCAGGATGAAATGAAAAAACTATTGACCAGAGCTGCTCAAAATTTGGCAATCTGCTACAACAGAGAGAACATGCCCCGTCAAGCCTGCATTGCTTGCAATGAAGCTCCGTACAAAACGGCAAAGATTCATTTCCAGTGAGTAGATACACAATCTCAGTTATATACAGTAGATTCTTGTTATAGTTGCGCTTGGTATAGTTGCATTTCCCCTCATATCAATTTTTCGTAGCGCAAGCGCTTCTCCCATTCCATCGTCTACGGAGCCTGCATCGTAAACACTTCAGTGTTTTCGGCGAGAATTTCTTTGAGGAGTTATCGTCGTGAGTGCATTGTGGGAGTACGGAAATGCAATCGCACTTTCAGAATTTCACTTCCTCCCTGCCTCCGACGGTAACGATAGTCTACTGTAATGTTCGGATACAGGGCCGGGCGGAATACGTATCCTAGCTGATAGCCCATTACATCCCAAATTTTTCACGATATAGGGGAGGTAGGGGCAAAGCGGACCCTCTAAGCGAATCGTTTAGTTTTTTAAATTCTAATGAGTCAATGCACTTCACGTGGAGATCATAATCTCATTAGAATTGCAATTAAGATCTGTCATTAAATTTAAAAAAAAATTAATGTTGGGGCAAAGTGGACCCTCTGTTTTTTTAAAATTATTTTAATTTTCCGTTTGTCAGGAGTCATTGTCATGTTGTTCTACCGATTGGATAGAATGTAATCGCTGTTGATCAAAAACTCACATTTCTTGTTCACAATTAGATCCGCAGGAGCTCACACAAATTTATACTTGCCCTCATTGCATATTTTTTTAGTCAAGGTAGTAAATTTCACTTTATAAAACGTATTAGAATAATTCTGGCGACTCGATTCAATAATTTATGTGAGGGTCCACTTTACCCCACACTTTTTTTTTTCGAAGGGGTCCGCTTTGCCCCGGGGGTCCGCTTTGCCCCTACCTCCCCTATATTTAAAAACTCTAGAAATTGGAGAAAATATTAAAAAACATTCAGAGTTGAATATAAAGGTTCAGACATATTGGATTTATGGGTAGGATTGAATAAATAACTGTGAATTTATTAGGTGTATAATTTAATCTTTTCGTTTTTTTAATCAAAAAATATGTAAATACTAGATCAACATTCTATGGCATCGTCTTTAAATTCGGAGATATTCCTCGAAAACTCAGCTAAGGGCTAAGTTGACTTAAACCTTTTTACCGCTTCGCTACTGAATTCATGATATCTGTCGTTTAACAGTTCCTATGATATATGATATTTCACTCTCAAAGTTACACTTGCGATGTGTGACACTCTGAAAATACGTCTCTACATTTTTTCCAAATCCTACCATACATCAGAGATTGCGATTCTGCTGGCCCTGTCTTCTCGTGAATATCAGTTAGCAATTTGTCATTTCATCACATTAATTTACAGTTATGGAAGAGCTTTGATAAAGATGGGAGAGTACAACCAAGCGCTTTCTCAATTGGAAAAGTGTTTGGCTCTTAATCCAGGAAATATCTCCACTATAAAAGAAATGGAACTGGTAAGAAAATAAAAAAAAGGATATCCAGTGTAAAGCGAGTTTATTAGAATCATAAAATAGGCACAGATGATATCACCTGTAATTTTCAGGCTAATCGCTTCGCTGAGAAATACGAAGAGATCGAGAAGAAAATGTGGTCAAAGTGCTTGGGACAGTCTAACGAAACTCCTCAGAAAGAGAATGAGTACGACCAAGTTGCTACTACTTTTGTCAAGGCTTTCGTGGATGATGAGCATATCATGCGTCAACCATTACCAGAGGGATTGCTACCAGAAGCAGAGAAAGCAATTCGAAGACAAGCAGCTATAAAGGGCCTGAAAGTTACTTCACATACTAGATATGGGAAAGAGATTATCTATCTTTCAAAGATGAATTACTTTTAATTTATGAGATTTTTTTTATACGGAACTTTTTTGAGGAAAGGTGAAGGCTTTCCGGATTTCACTATTTTCTCTTGGTTCATTACATAGGGTGGAAGTACTCATTATCCTCTTGTTCTTCTTTCTATTCCAGTTCATGTCATATCCTTAATGCTTAGTGAGGATTCCAGGAGTTCATGTCTCGAAAAAATTTCCCCGGGAAAACCATTGCCTAGCAACAATTTATTCTTCGAAATTCCTCCTCACTAAATTTCCCCCGTTGCATTCAGGAAATTCTCTCAGGAAAAAAATTGACCTCGATGAGTCTAATTAATGACTCACCTTCTAAATTAACGATAAAGAGAACTTCAAATTCAATTCCTATGTAATAGGAACATAGTGCACATTTTCTTTTAATTTTGAGAGGGAAACTATCATCCGGGGAACTTGGGAAGAGGTAGTGGCTAATAAATCGGGTAAGTGTTTCTCTAAAGGAAATATTCGAACAGGAAATAAACTCCACTGGAAGACTATCCTAATGATTATCATTACATCGATTGAAGTGATTTATACTTAACAGTATGGTAACTGCAATAGTTGAATGGTTCTAGATACAAATTGAGATAAGTTTTTTTATATCAAGTTAACAATGACGATATGCACTTTATGATTTTTATTTTTTACTTTGCTAAATGATAATCCACCTTAACTCTGTCGAAGGAGTTTGAAAATGTCAAATTACGAAGTAGATTCTGACATTGAACGGGTCCAAATAAATTTAAAAAATGTCTGGGGCCGAATTTTCCGGCACTCAAGTGCAGTTCAAACGTTCGTCCGAAGAAGGCTACGAATTATTTATTATTTGATATAAAGGTCTAGGGAGGATACTTTATTGAAGTTTCTACACGTACAGAATAGATTGCTAAAGGCTCCTGAATAACGGTCAACTGTATCCCCAAATAGATCACTACAAAGAATAAATAGACATTCATTCACTTCGTACAAATGTTTTGGCCATGGTCGTTTTCAAATTTTCATCATTTCAGACTTGTCAAAGTTTCATACACATTTATCGAAGTCACTGAACTTTTCGTTGAACACAATTCATTTAGAAAAATACTCAGCCTCAAGTATGAAACGTCCAATCGGTCGAACTATTTCAATTTAATTTATAATGTGGAATAGTGAATATTCCACCAGTGAACATACATAAATGTGAATATAAAGATAAACCCAGTGGAAATAGATTCACGAATTTCCTACGAAGATGAATTGGCTACAATATTTAGCTCATAACATAAAATCATCAGCAATATTAAAATTCATTATTAATTGATTAATTAAATAAAATTAACCCGAATGAAAAAGTCAGTTCGAGAATACGTCAGATAAATTTCAACATGTTTGTCATCATTTAAGTCATCCACTATCATTGACGAGAGAAGACTTATAACATATAAACTTGTGTAAATGACATTATTCAGCAAAGTCTGAATCAATAGTTAAATATGAAAACCAAAAGATAGGTGCTAGTACTAAAGTCGAATGTGGAACATTATTTTTTTACCTTTTCCGCAGATATAGTATTATGCATTACGTATTCTCATTTTATTCACAGTATTAAATCGACAATTATTATTGATGAGTAAATCAACAATATAGAGTATTGTTACTAATGCTATCATTTAGTTCTAAATGTAAGATCGATGATTAGATTATTTTCATCGAGATAGGTAGTTTATTTTTTTCTGCTGTATTTCACTATTCTAAATAAAGCAATGATGAGTCTAATAACGAGGAATAAGCATGTGTTTATTCGTGAAATAAGTGTTTTACATTTGTATAACCAGTTCCAAAAAATGTAGAGTTGATTATTTTTACCAATCGGATTTAGACCAATCAGAGCACAGTATTTGAGGCTACCCGACAGTTTTATTTCGGATATTTCCTCCTAGCTTTTCAATATTTCGCAGTAGTTCTTCATTTTTTTACCTGATTATTTTTCCAACCCAGTTGCTATATAAAAAACAAAACATCATGCAGTCGAATTAACCCTCGTCAAACTGACAGATTGAATTCAATTGTGGTAATCCGAGGATTTTTATTCGAAATGAGTGTTAATTATACAATTTTCGTTTCTCAATTGTGAGTTTCGTCTCATGGTTCAATTATATTGCATACAAACGAAGTCGTCAAGTTTGTCGAGTGCTTCGCACTCGTGATTTTTTAACCTGAAAAACTTGACTCCTTCGTTTGTTTGCAACGAACCTATCGGAAAATACCAGATAATTTTGAAGCTCTTGTGGTATTACAAGTGAATATTTCCCAGTAGCTTTTCATTTTTTCGGCTCATTTCAGATAGAATCTTATATTTGATAGTCTATGGAAATCGGGTTATTCTATTAACATAATTTGTTCAAATCTTCCCCAATTCACCTCCCGATGTTGTCCACTGCACTCCGCTTGGCCAAAATCCGATTGGGAAAAATAATCCGACGAATACCCCTCGAGATTCAAAATTGATCGGGTATTTTCCTCAAGCTCCCCTGCAAACAAACCATCGTGCCAAGTTTTGCAGAGAAATCCCTTGCGCAAGCGCTCGGGATTTTTGAACCTGCAAAACTTGACGCCCTCATTTATTTGCAACGAAGCTATCCTGGAATACCCGATAATTTTGAAGCTCTTGGGGTATTACTACTGAATATTAAAAATCAATATAGCAATTTTTGCCTCCGAATGGAACCTTTGTAATCGCTCATATAGGGGAGGATGGGGCAAAACGGCCCCCCTTCAATCGTCAATATTTTCCGATTCAATAATCCGATTGGGATGAGTTAGAGCTCGTTTTGAAGAATGAAAAATTATCTTCAAAATGAAGTTGAAACTGGGAATTTTCACAATGTCATTCACAAGTTATTGACAATTGAAGGGGGGCCGTTTTGCCCCACCCTCCCCTATGTACATTATGCATAGGCCACTCAGCACTCATACCGAAGTCCAATTCATGGTAAACGAGATTAATTAAATTTTTCCTATTTTTGTATTTAGAACTGGCACCGTTCGAAATAGTATATTTTGATACAAGTGCGACGGGGTGGTAACGAGTGTGAAGTTGGTGGCTGGCAATCACACGAGTTAAAACACCCCGTCGCACGTGTATCCGAAATTCATGAAATTTTTGCTCTTTAATACGCTTCCGCTTGAAAAGAACATTGTTTTTTTGTTTCTCTCACAGAGAGACCCTGGAATTGATTTACCATTATTTTGCTTGTCCATAGTAAATTGTAATGACGTGGGCGATGAATTTTTTGGATAAATGCGTATCGATGGAAAAAATTTATACGTGTTTATGCATATAAATTTTTAAAAATAAATAAATTTTTTTAAAACGCAAATTAATTATTTTCCATTTATTATTAAAATTGCATATATAAATTTTTTTGATGCATGTAGGATGTAGGAAAAAAATTGAAGTTATAAAAAATATTATTTGACTACAGAATAAGCTAAGTACGGTTGTATTATTCCATTGAAGGGAACGAATTTTTCTTCTTCAAGGATTTGTTTTCTGCGGGAATACAATAGATTCCCTTCCGCCTCACCTCCTACATTCCGTCATCGCTTAGACATCGTTAACGAATTGAAGCTTTGTAATTCCGGCACAATGCGTATAGTTGTGGTATAACTGGTGACTTCAGTCCTAACTAAAAAAAAAGCTTGATGGAATTCATTGATTCACACCCTCTGAAATGAAGCAAAAAATATAAATATTTTTGTTTGTAAATTATGTATCAATGAGCATTACAATAAAATGAACAAAAATTCATGGAAAAGAAAATTGAATCATCTTTTTGCTTCATTTCATATCTCCAGCAATTCATGGTAAGAATATGTCAAATTCGACATTCATTTGAACTTAGACTTTCAATCGTTAATTAGTGACGATTGGTACAGTGAAATGGAACGATTTTTTTTTATTTCAGGAACAAAAACAGTTGCCACAAAAACAGTTTTGTCCAAATTATTAGTTATGTTCCAAATTATTTTCTTTCAGGTGTGACATGTTTCCTTGTCTCAATTGTCAATTTCACTCAACTAATTTCAACCAGCAAAACTAACATCAATTTCAAATTATTTAAACGACTGTAAACTAAAAACCTTCAATACATTTAGAAAATCTCAATTTATTTGTTTGTGCAACAAAAGACTGTGAGTACTTAAACTGAAAACTTGAACGAAATACTTCCATCTCCCGTTCATTTCCATGGAGGCAAATCATTAGGATGCTTGCTCCTCATGTGCGCTCCGATGCTGTACCTCCTCGTCAGAGCGCGTGCAGAATCAGGACAAACAGGGCACTTGAATCCACCCCCGAAATGTGTAACCCATACATGATCCTGGATTCTCATCTTATTTTCCACGATCAAGGAGCACGTATTGCAGATATATTCTCGGCTCACATCCTGCGTGTACTCCCTCTCCCAATCAATCTCGAACCATTTTGGATTCGATGGTAAAACGCAAAATTCACTCACTTTGATCGGAAGATTTTGCTTTATTGATTCTACCTGAGGTGCGTCTTCATCGTTTGCTGTAGGTAGATCTGCTACAGGCGTCTTCTCCTGTTGACCTCCAACAGAAGATGGATCTCCATCGCCAACTCCACATATTTCTCCTGATATTTCACCACTACCTGGAGCTGGAAGCTCCTCTTGAATCATCTGTGAGTCAGCATATTTTCCTGCTGTCCAATCAAAGAGAAATTCATCTGCATCACCAGCTCCAGGTTCTTCTCCTGATGGATCCCCATGGCCAGCTGCATCTGGAGAGTGATCAGTTTTAATTACCTGTTCCTCATGCCTTTCAACGCTCCCTCTCATAACATCCCTCATCTCCTCCAATTCCTCAAACTCCTGTCTGAACCTCTCATTTTCATTGTGCAGATCACCAACTAAAGACTTCAATTTCTCTATTTTCTGACTCAAAACAGTTCCCGACTGCTGGAGAATAGAAACCTCTGACCCATCTGTCATCATCACCTGGTCAACTTCTCCAGGTGTACTCAATGGTGACGTCGGTTTTTCATCCCAAAAAGCTCTTATTGAATTCAATTTCTGAAGTTTCAGTCTAGTCTCTTCGAAGTCAACACTCTGAGAGTCGAATCCCTGCAAAATCCAATGATCGTCCAAGATTTCCTCCAACTCCATCTTGATTCTTTTCTCCGCCGCTTCCAGCTTTTTTCCAACCTCTGACTCATTCTCTTCGACCTTTGTGGATGATAAAGTGCCTTCTAGGCTCGAAGAAATCATTCTGGGAGTTGCGCTTAACAAATTTTTGATTCTCTGGTTCATCCTGGCTTTTAATTGGATCATTTCAGAGTCAAAAGTAGTCTGGGACCCATGAGACGATTGAGAGCTTCGAATTTGCGTTGCGAGACGAACTTCCACTTGCTTTATCATTTCCTTGTCAACTTCCAACTCTACCTCCAGGTTTTTAGCTTCTTCTTCAAGAACATTCTCAATTTGTTTCTTTTTCCTTTGGAATTCATTAACGATGGTGCTGGTGTGAAGCAACCTGACGTGAAGGGCTGCTAGTTCTTTTTCCAGGTTGGATATGTTAGATAATTGATGGTCATTGAGAGGCCCAGAATCAGTGCTTGAAGAGTGGAGAGGTGAGAATCTCAATTTCTGGCGTTTTGAGGACGTCCCATCCTCTGTTGTTGATGAGGATTGGGAATTCTTAAAGTCGTTCGCCTCCATCTGAAAGTGATTATTGGTATCAAATTCATGTACAATAAGGGGAATTGTGTATTATTTAAACGAATAAAGTGACTTAATATTGAAGAGTTTCATAGGGAATTACTGAATTCAGTAGTGAAGTAGTCAAGGATAAAAAATTGACTTATTCTCCAGTCGAGCCTTTGAGGAATATCTCTGAATCTGAGGGAAGTTTTTAAATTTCTCTAGGAACCTTTTTTTATAGAACAAAAAAAAGGAGCTAAAAAATTGTTTTCTTTTAGAAAATTATTCCAGAAATTTCAAGTAAAAAAACTTCAATTTTTTAACGATTGATTAACAGATTCTATGTATGTTAGCAGTTACAGAAGAATCAATGAATTTAAAGAATATCCAATGAAATTGCGATTTTCAGGGCCATATAACAATGGGAATGGCTGAAAATAGTACAACTTCAGGCAAGTATGAGTCTAAATTTTAAAATTGTTGAAAATAATATTGAATGTGAACTTCAATTTTCAAAATGAATAAGACATGACGTGAACAATTTGATCTTCAATTGAATTCAAATTCACATTGAAAATTCAAATGCAGTTATTACTTGTAATGCAACAAGAGTCTATTATATTGCTGTCTGAAGAGGATTGATATGGTATTTCACTCGATTAATCATTATTCTCAAAATAAAAGTATAAATTTATTCAAACACTGGATGATTTCGATCCACGCTGACAGGAAAGTCAATACTTAGAACAAATCCCAGGGATTATTGTTTGATAATGTTAATTACAAAGTTGTTGATTTATTCACTTCTTTGAAAATATCAATTAAAACTGAGAACGGGATAACTGAACCATAAACATGTGTTTATAGAATCTGTGGACGGAGGGAAACAGCTTGAATAGAAAAAACAATTCGTTAATGAGTTGTTATAAAAGACTGCTTACATTGATGTTCGATGTATCATCAGCAAGTCGAGATACGTTGTTGATCAAAGTTGGAAAATCTCAATTAATCGAGAATATAAGGGTGGTCAGATAATTTTTTATGCAAATATGCAGAAATTTTTTTGAGAGAAAAAGGAATACCTGGAATTGAAGGTTTAGTAATCTTCATTATCGTAATTGTTCTATTCTTCAAAATTATGATTTCGCCATGAGTATTCCAAACTGAATTTGTGAGACCTCTGTCTAAAATAATGTGTTACTTGTGGTTGTATTTTGTCGGTTGTACAAAATGTTACTACGGAGGGAAAATCCGGACAAAGGAAGCACATAATTGCTTTTTAAAAGATTCAGAGAGGAAAAAATGATGAAATGGATGATTCGTTGTTATAAATAATTCGGAATCATCTAGAGGGAATCGAAAATTCATTCAAATCGTAGTACCCATTTGGTAAAGAAATATTTTTAATTTAAAAATGTAAGGACCCTTCGTCCCCCTCCCCCTTGCCACTTTTTTCCTTCTTTTTGCTTAGTTCAGAAATTGATCGATGATTTGTGTTTTGGCCTCCACTAAACATTCAAAGGGTTATCAACATTTTGTTTTAAATAGAGTGCCCATTATTTTGCTCTATTCTTTCCTACATCTTGTCCTGATGTCGACCCAGGTTGGGGTCAAAGCCTTGACGAATGGAACAATCACAACCATCAAAATGATTAAAATCAGACTAATGAGCTTTCCACTATCGATGTTGACATGCGGTTAAAATATTCGTAATACTTGTTCTTACTATTCATTATTATATATTGTTGAGGCAAACAGTCAAGTGCAATTTTAATGAATTTGGCATTTTATGCACGATTTATTTTACTTACCTTTGGATTTTGTTAAAAAGGTGCAATAATTAGCAGTTTTAATGTTTTACACAGCCAGTTGTGACTATTTATTTAGTTTGCAGGAATATCGAAGCTGATGTTTACTCTCCTTGTACTTGTTAATTGTTGTCGACAAGGTTATCATGAAGATTATCCCGCCATTATCCGACTAACGCAATACGCATGCGTATGCTTTCTTTTTTATCGACGGACCACTGTTGAAATTATGGAGGGAAATTTGAAAATGCCCGGTGTCTTTATTTGGAATGAAAAGAGATCATTTCCTCATTAATTTGAAATCTGTTCACAAAACGGCGACTCCAATGATCTTTAAAATCATTATAGCATTCTAATTTTTACAGATGATTTTATTTTCGGTTCATATATTATTATTACATTATATTAATCCGATAAAATTTCCATTCCGATTTTTATTCTTTGCTATTTTTTTAATGTATTCTATCAAAATGTGAGGATAGAAATTGAATTGATGGGTATTCTTCCATTATTTGAAAAAATATATCAATTTTAAAACTTTCCGGAGACATTGAAAAATCGAAATTTTTATTTCCTTGCTGATCACGTATCTGTTTTTGTTTTCACTTTCTTCCATTCAAATTAGATCATAGAAAGGGAACATAGGGGCGAGTGGGGTAAAACGGCCCCTTTTGATTTTTACAAAAATGTTAACAGCTCATTCAATTTTAAATAAAATGACATAATTTATTTTCCATGGAAACTGATCTTAAAATTAATGAATTTGTTTCTGAGTTATGAGTATCACAAAAAAAAAGTCAAAAGGGGCCGTCTTATCCCACTCTCCCTTATTGATATTTTTTTGTCATCTAAGAAAAATCAGTTTTGAAATTTTTCAGAAAAATAAAAAATTGCTTTTTTTAAATTTTCTTGCTGACCATCTCTCCCTGCATTTTTCTCATTTCGCACTCAATTAGAAAATTTTTCGGAAACATTGCACGTAACAATTGATATTTTTATTTTCTTGCTGATCATCTTCCTTTGCATTTTCCTTATTCCGTTCCATTGAAATGAGATTAAAGAGATGGAAAATTTTCATATCCGTTGACATTAAAAAAAAAATTGGTACGTCTTGATTTAAGGAAAAAATAATAATGATCAATTCCCAAATGTTATGGGTACATTGAAAATTGTCAACGGATAGACATTAGAAGGAGTAGGTGTTTATCTTAAAAGTAACGTATTCATCAGTCATGGTCAATTATACGTGGCATTGTCAAGAGTGAGGGCAAGTGAAAAATTGAAAATATGCATGAGTGAAGGCGGTAGAATAAAAAATTTAAAAGATGGAAATAGTTATATGAAAAATTTAGTACATAAAGAAATTTTTGAACAATGATGTAATTGTGAAGAATATACAGATCATCATCCCAAAAAAGTATCAATACTCTCCTTATTACTTAACATAAATATCTCTTCATTTGAAAATGAGAAAAAACTGTTCCCACAATTTGTATACGACAATGGGAATAGAATCCAATAAATTTAATTGAATCTAACCGCACAGAAAAATTGGAAAGAAAACAATAAAATAAATTGATATAATATCATATAATTTAGTCCGCTATTACGTAATAATTGGATAAAATTGGTCACAATAATCCATTATCACTCAGTGGTTGAAGATAATGAAATATTTAAACCACAATAAACAATGATCGTAGTTATGTTAACATAATGGATTTGCGATCAGTCGTTTTTTTTATAAGCAACGAACTGCAATTAGATTTTAGCGATAGTAATAGCCGACGTTTCGATCTATACGTAACTGATTGTCGGTTGATGTCAGTTGATTTATGACTAGTATCTGATTGTAGTTTGTTTATATTTGTTTGCTGTAATTGCGATGTTTCACCGGTCTACTTCAGCCTTTCATAATTGAAGTACATAATGGAAATTTAATCTGAATAATTGTGGGGTCAGCACGAAAACTATATTAATTAGCATGAATAAATACAAAAAAAACAGCAATAAAAAGGAATACAATTATTAATATAATAAATTATACCACACTTCCGATTGCCTCCAGTAATTTGTTCATAATGTTCGAAATTTTTTGATAGTTCATGTTTTCCGGTGGCCTGGCGTAGTGGTTAAGGCCGTTGCCTCACAACGGATAGGTTCCAGGTTCGATTCCTGGCCGGGTAGAATGGTGAGATCTAACCATTTTTAAAGTCTTGATCAATCGCCATATAGTCTCATCAGACTCGAAGCGATATNAAAAAATTTCCATTGGAATTGAAATCAACATCAATATTTATTTCTTCACAAGACAAAAATGTGTATTATTTCACATTTTAGGAATATCAAAATTGCACTCATTTGTTGAATAAAACGCCAACCTCATGTGCACTTGAAAGCGCATGACAGATACATGGAAGTTCTCCTGCTTCCTCGTCATCGTTACAGAAGAGTATTATTTAACTGATCGTTCATGAGATGAAATATTGAAAACATAACGAATAATGCTAACATTGTCTAATCGTAACATTTCGCTTAAAGTTTAATCGAACCATCTCAGTCTTTTAATAATTGAAGGATATAGTAAAGGAAGAGAATCTGAATAACTGTGTGTCCAGCGCAAAGACTATACTAATTATTTGAATAACCACAGAAGACAGCAACAATAAAAGCGATAAAATTACAGACAGAAATATCTGTCGTGAGTCTTAAGTATCGTTAAGCAGGTATCTCACTGGTGCTCACTCAACTGCCTCATGAATATTTGTTCATACGGATTCAAATTTTGCAGGAGTTTATGTTTGAACTTTAGTAAGAACAATATAATTTGATTTTCCAATGAAATTACAATTCATATTCATTTTTTCTTAAGACAAGAATACATACTATATCTTGTTTTATGAATGTTGTAAATGATAAAATGCACTTATTTCTTCAAAAACGTGTGAGGGATCCTTGCAACAGAGAAAATATTATTAACCAGTCGTTCAAAATGATGGAATATTGAAACACATCAGAAATATCAATTCATCTTCAAATACTACGTCTCACTCAGTGCTTTTTCATTTTTATCGAGGTTCACGTAGGAAAAAATTTAATAGAAAAACCTAACGAATTCGTTAGACAATTCTATTGAACTTTCTATTAGTTTTTGGCCGATCCTACTGAAATGTTCACTAGAAAATATTCCACAGAAAAAGTTGATAGAATTCGATTTTTCTATAACACTTATTCTGTTGAGACATTTTCTATAGAATTTCCTAGTCTCAATTTTTCAACGTTTTTTTCGTTCTATCTTTCTTTTATTTTCATCAATGAAATCAAATGAGAAAACTTGGAAAGTTTGAGCCGAGGACATTTAATAGAAAGCATCTCAATAGAATATGTTGTATAGAAAAATCAAATTCTATAGACTCTTTCTACAGAATATTTTCTATTGAGCATTTCAACAGATCGCCCAAGAACTAATAAAAAGTTGCAATAGAAATCCAATAGAATTGTTTACCGAATTCGCTAGATTGTTCTATGAACTATTGTCATACGTATTTCGATGATTTAAGTTCAGTTCAGTCAAAAAAATAGTGTGACCAGCACAATTCACTATGTTAATTAGTTGAATCACATGGAGCAATAAAAACACAAAGGATAAAACCAGACATAGCAATAAGATCGTCCTTGAGCATTGTGAACTCAATCTTCAGCATACAGAACTGCGCCATGGATATTTACTTATAATATCCTTATGTCCTTATAATAATTAAAATGTTTCACGAGGCAATATTCAGACTTTTGTCAGAATAACAAAATATCAATCGAAATTAATATTCTTTTGCTCCTATAACATAAGACAGAAAACAATCTATCCATCTCTCACTCTTCTATTTCTTTGGTGGGAGCAAATCAGCATGTTTTGCCCTTACATGTCTAGCCACACGGTCCCTCCACTGATACGAAGAATCAAGACACCAAGGACACTTGAATCGTCCACCGCAATGTTGGATCCATATGTGGTCCTGCATCTTCACTTTGCTATTCTTCATCTCCAGACATATGTTGCAGTAGTTCTCATGACTATTGCGGTGTGTGTAATATGCTTCCCAATTAATATTGAAGAATCTGTCGTCTGAAGGCAGAATGTATTGGCCACCTACGGTGATTCCTCTTCGTCTCCTTTCCTCCGCTTCCCTCTTGTTCAGTTCTTTGTGCCTTCGGATTATTTCATTTCGCTCGTTTGGATCATCAACTTGCTTGAAGAAGCCCCCTGACTGATGTAAACAAGATGTCCTGCCAGTCCATGCTGCTGAGCACGTACCACTCTCCCTCGACTCATCCCCCTGAAGTTCTGCCAATGATTCTTCGTTCTTTCCATACACCGTCTCCACCAGATGATCAGATTGAGGTAGGATTTGGCCTCCTCTCGAGGGAATTCTCTCCAAATTAAATTCCTGAGGTTGTAGACCTCGATTGAATGGAACGTTCTGGAGCTGATGAAGGGATTCCGATAGCCAATCCTTCCCCAACATGTGTTCCAGGTTGCCCTTCACTCCCTCCTCAGCAATGTCTAGCCCATCGGAAACCTTTAAGTCCTCTCCACGGGCCCTGAGACATATCGACGAGTCCTGGAAGCTTGAGGGGATCATTCCAGTGTTTTTGGTGGATAGATCTATGACGTTATCTTCCATTTTTGTCTTTTGTTGCGATCCTTCGAGCTCAGAAGTCACCGGAGGCTGATGTGCATGCTGATAACACCGGATTTCTGCAGCGAGATGTACTTCCATTTGCTTAATCATCTCTCTGTTCATCTCCATCTCTATTTCTAGGCTCCTAGTTTGCTCTTCAAGAACATTCTCAATGCGCTTCTTCTGTCTTTGAAAGTGGGTGAAGGCAGCTGTTGTATGGTATAACTTGATGTGAAGGGCTGCCAGATCTCGTTTCATGTTGAACACTTTCCAGGCATTGTGAGGGGCAGAGTAAGGGCTCGGGAATTGAAGGGGGGGTGTTCTCAATTGGGTCAGTTTACGGCGTTTTGAAAGCATTTCATTATCTTGATTTGGGAGAATGTGGCACCTGTCGAGGAGGTTGTCCATCTGGAAATCATTATTGTTCATTGTTATTTGTACAAGGGAAGTATGAACTAATAGACTTATAACCTCGGGACATGATCGGATTCGATATTATGGACATTATGGAATTTGTTACACTCACTTTAGGATTTTTTTGAAAAGTTGGAATCATTCGGTCTTCTACTTCTGCCAAGTGGCGGATTATTTCTGTTCACTGTATCCAACAGCATATGAAAGCAGTCTTTCTGAACTTTTTGACGGGTCGAAACATGTACTACTTGATATACAATATGCGCGCATGCCGATGCGCAGCAGTATTAATCTTTCTTATCGACTGAGGTTACCGATGATTTGTGGACAAAGTTTAAAATTGTTTTTCCATCACGCTCTGCGAAAAAGTAACTTTTTAGGCACGTTTCGCGTGCCTAAAACGTACTTTTCCACGCATTGTGATGAAAAAAATCGTTCGATACTCATGGGAAAAGTGTTTTTTGGCTCGTGGGATTATATCACTCGCCTTCGGCTCGTGCTATAAACTTGTCCCGAGCCAAAAAATACTTTTCCGCACTCTTTACGAAGTATACTATTTCGATACTCATGAGAATAGTATATTTCGTAACGAGTGCAAAAAAGTGTTTTTTGGAGAGTGGGAGGTTTATATCACGAGCCGAAGGCGAGTGATATAATCCCACGAGCTAAAAAACATTTTTCCACGAGTAAGGAAGAATATTTTTCATCACAATGTGGCGGAAATTGGACATTTAGGCACGCGGAGCGTGCCGAAAAGTTCACTTTTCGTCACAGCGTGATGAAAAATATATTTCGATACTCGTGAGAATAATACATTACCTTGATAAACAGATCACCGTCCCCCACGTGCTTGCAATCTTGCACGTGGGGGACGGTGATCTGTTTTCCAAGGCTCAGGCATGTAATGTACTATTTCTGGCTCGTGGGATTATATCACTCGCATTCGACTCTCGTGCTATAAACCTTCTACGAGCCAAAAACACGTTTAGCAGTAGCGCCTTTTCGTTTACTGCTAAACAAAAAGTAAACAAAAAGTCTTTGCCCTTACTTCTAAACGAAAAAGCACTTTTCGGCACGAGGTGAACGTAGCAGCAGTGTCAACATGGTATATTTGGAAACCAGCGAGACGGAATTTCTACGAACGTGAAGTTGGCGGCCCGAGGCGAAGCTGAGGGCTATTAATCACACGAGCTGAAAATTCCCGTCTCACATGTGTCGAACAATATTTTTTCGAAAGAAAGCATCGTTATTGTCCGATTTTTACATTTTCTAATTTTGATTGGAAATGATGTAGAATGGTCTAAAATTTAAAAGCAGAAAGTTTGGTAACGATGTCCGTATGTGAACATGTCCACCACCACACCAAAAATCGAAATACCAACTTCAAATTTGGACAGAATCTCTTCCTCATAACAACAAACGTTCATATTGAAGTGAGTGCAATCGCATTGGCAGTTTCGGAAATATTCAATTTTTTATGAAAATCTATTTTGTGCAATATCTTTAAAATTATGCAACCGATTTCACATTTTTTTTTTCAAAAGATTCGTGTGGATGTTCTTTACTTAGATCATTCAAATCATGCATACCCTGTCCATTAAAATTTTCGAGATATTCTTACTGTTCGGTTTTTCTCTTGGCATTTTTCACAAGGTTAGAGAAAAGGTTTTTTTTATCGTTATGTTACATTGCTCCGACCCGGTTCGGGTATGCTGCGATGATGGTCAAGACTTTAAATGGTTAAATCTCACCGTTCTACCCGGCCGGGTTTTGAATTCGGAACCTTTCGCATGTGAGACAACGTACATACCTACTGCGCCAAGCCACCGGGTTCACAGAAGATTGAAATCTAGATTGAAGCTCGAAAAATCAGAAAAAAGAAATAAAAATTATATGCCCGATATGAAAATTATAGTCGGTGGTGTCTCACTTTTGACGTGGATACGTCTATGTTTTCGTTTTGAGGGGCATTTTGTGCATAGGTAGATATTTACTAACGCCACCTATTGGCGTATACGGAAACTAAGCCGGTAAGTACGGAATTCACTTTACCGACTGTCATTAAACGTGGACTTGGGTTGAAACGACGTTTTATAGCACGTTTCACGTGGTGATGAGTGGAACAGAGATACAGTAGAACTGGCGAAAGAGTTGCATTGGGAATTGTAGGTTATGCACCGAGCTCTCATTGTCCCATCCTCCTCTCAGTGGAACAATCTCGCCAGTCCTACTGTACATGTAAACAAACATTCTCACGCACTTCTCACACATTAAAAAGTGTTCCCTTAAGACTGTTTAATTTTCTAATTTCCCAAGCATCTACGTAACATAGACGTATCCACGCAAAACTTGCAGCTGTATCAGCGATACAGCCAACCAGGATTTTTTGTGGCAAATAATATTTGTAGAAACATCCTAGTCAAACGAGACTTGTTTAAAAAAAATAATTAAAGAAAGAATTTGAACATTAAAGTTATAATTGACGAAAAAAATTATCAATGATGAATTTCTCGGGCTTATTGGATTTATTTTTCCGCGTTACACTCAACAATACAACATGAGTTTACTCATACTCGTTTAAAACTAAAATTGAATTATAATTTGTTTTCAATAACTATAATTTTCATTTTATAAATATCTTAATTTTAACTTTAATTTGTTGTCAATAACTAACAGTAATTTGTTTTTTATCTCTCGAAAAGAATTCCCACAGACTGATAATCATCATCGTCCTAGGATTAAGGCGGTTGTTGGTATCAACATCATGGCTACGAATGAGGTGAAATCGTGGCCGGCTCCAATCGCGTTTTCTTGATCAGGGACGTAGTTTATGCGCCCTTCTACCCTGGCATACACTGGGCTGTGGCGCTTTATGTAGTCGGCGAGCACCTGATCTGTTGTAACTCCTGAAAATTCAACCAAAAAAATTTAACAATTTTAGAATTTTTCAATTCTTTTATTAACAGGATCAACATTCCGTTCATCACTTTATGAGCACCGTACCGCATTTTTTTGCAATTTTTTAATGACATTGTTTTAGAGCTGTACAAAAATTTGAACAAGTTTGTTATATTAGCTTCAAGTAGAGGGATGGAAGCCTCAACTGACGAAATTTTACATTAAATAAAATTAATAAAAAAACGTTACAAAGACGTTAAATTAACGCTAAACTGACGTTGGCGACGTCAAATTGACGACGCGACGCGCCGCGATTGTCGTCGTGTTGTTGTGTTTGACGTTGGTCACGTTTGTTATTTATTATTTTTGAATTTTTTTATTTTACATTTTTTTTTTCTAATGAAATATAGCAATTTGTATGGTGAGATTCTAGAGCGCTGAAGTTCCAAAAAAAAACTACTCAACATTCAACCGAAATAAACATTTAACGATAATATTGTTACATGTCCCCCGTTGAACCCCTTTGAACTATATGTAGTCTCAATAAGGATGTCAAGGAGCCTATTCTCGAATTGAAATCGTACGTTCGAATTCATCACGTCGCATGCGGCATATAAAACGTTGCATGAGTCGCATGCGACCAGGGAATCTATTCTCGAGTCGGTGAGTGGCTGAGCGTATAAGTTTGACTCGTACGATCTCATATGGAGATCCGTGTGTAATCGTACGAGTCGAACGTATACGCTCAGCCACTCACTGACTCGCGAATAGACTCCTAGGGGGCCTCTATTTTCGAGTTTGAGGTGAACAGATTTGTGAACGGAACAGCGTTGCCAACCATACCATAATTATGGTACCGCTACCATAATTTCACATCCGATACCATATACCATAGAGAGGTCTATGGTATCCCTAATTTTACCATAATTTCTTGTTTCGGGGAGGAGACCACGAAAAATGCTAGTTTTTTTCAATTCTTTATTCTGCCAATGGATCATCCGGAAATCTCTCGTCATCTGGATGACGCTATTGGTCAATCTCGTCATCAATCTCTCTTTCCCTAGCATCTAGGCGTTATTCATTCGGACTAACATCAAGATTTTCCTCCTCATCATCATGATCAGACCCAACTATTGGTTCTACAACTTCATCCAGATAGACATCCTCCACTTTTTCATTGTTGGCGTGGTGGTTGAGATGAATTTGAGCCAGGAGCTATAAATATTTACATTTTACTGTGTGCTTGTATTCGGTTATGTTTATTCTCCAGCCAGTTTATCCTTCCAGACATCGGCAGTACCGCTCCTAGTTATTTCTTCTGTTTGATAGTGTTCAAAGAACAGAAAAAAATAGGATTTTGTGTTTCATTTCAATTTTCCGAAAAAGGCACTTTTAACGTGGATACCATAATTTGAATTGAAATACCATAATTTTGTTACGTTAGCGCCATAATCGCCTACGTTCAGGTTGGCAACGCTGGAACGGAAGTGGGTCCGTTCACATATCGCGTTGGGGAACGAAAGTTTTCGTAAACGAATCCTAGATCCACATGTGAATAAATTTCATTGACGGATGTCGTTTTCGATTCACACGTGAGGATACTCGTATGAGGATACACGTAACCTATTCTGGGGAACGAAACATTAAACATTAATTGTTTAATTTAATTTATTATAGTTCAATTCTTTGTTGTACAATACGTTGAAAAATGGATAATTTGTGGAGATACATCTATTACGATATACTCCAAATGCAGAGTATCACGTGTGAAGTTCGCGACTTGGGAATCAGTGTGCGAATTGAAAATAACCTCCGTGAACGAAGTTAATTCACATATCAATCTAGTACCGTGGGTGAGAGGGTACTCGGACGGGCCGGAGTACTCGCACGAAGGGCACTATTTTTTTGTAAATTCAATGTTTCAATTTTTAATTTTCATTTTGCCATCCTCAATTTGATAGTGGTGGAATAAGAAAAGTCTAATCTATTCGGCCTAACCGTAACTTTCAACATTTGAATGCGAGATCTGTATTTAATTTGAATTTTATGGCGTTCTACGCGGACATGACATCTCCGGGCCTGACTGCTAAGCGTAAAGGTTAGCTCCGCTGGCCACTGCATCGCGTTAAAAACTGAACATGTCAGTACTAAACCCAGTGAAACAATTATTTACTGTAAAGAAAGGGATAACAAAAGTCATAAAAGCTGTAAATAGTGGGAAAAACGTATAGAATAATTAAAAAATTGGTGTCCGAGTACCCCCACGTTAAAAAGTCACTTATTGCAGCACTCGGACGGGTTATTTAACCTCACTTGTCAAACACGTGTCTCCGACCTTGTAACCCTTTTCTTTTATGAAAAATTATCCCAAACATTGAGAGAAGGTATTAACGGGTGATCTGTTACAGGGGTAAATTAGTACAGAAAAAAGAAGGAAGATAAAAAAAAGATAAAAAAAGAAATTATTGTTAATCCACCGGTGACGAGATCGTCATAAAGTCCCCCAACAAAACGCATATCATAAATGAAAATGTATAACATAAATGAAATGATATGAAGCCTGTTGATTATTTAATGATTTAAATAAAAAAATTGAATAAAAAGAATCTTTCAACCTGTAATGGGAACATAGGCAATTGCGCCGTCCGACCTCTCCGGCTCTGGCCGTGCGAGTATCTACGTATTGCGGATTTGAGTGTCCGAGTACTGTATCTTCGACCAACTAGTTCATTTTCATTAATAATTAATTATTAGCGCATACATTTCCTTCAAAATTAACTTTTTACTATTCGCAATACATTGAGACTTACTGTAAATCGATTTTTTTCGCCTTTGCGCATCTCAGTAATTTAAAAAATGTCTTTGATCGGCCGAGAATTCTTAATCGTGCGAGTACCCCCTCACCCACGGTATTCGTTCACGGAAACTTTCGTTCCCCACCGAAATGCGTGAACTGAGCCACTTCCGTTCACAAATCCGTCACGTCAAACCCAAGAATAGACTCCCAGGGAACGAAAAACAATCGTCTTTGGTGAAGTCTGATGTTCAACTATTCTTTTTGGTGTGATTGTTGAATACACTTCTGTCTCTTGGCTTCCCACTGAATTATTAATAAAACGTCCCAAATATTTTATTAATTTGTGTTGCTTGTGTTTTCTCTTTTCTCTGAATATAACAATATCTATAGGCAAACTGCGAGTCTGTTTTCTTCGTAGCTACCCCCACTTTAGCTAATCCCGATGCACATCCATATCTCCCACCTCTGAGAACGAAGAGAAGGGACTAGCCAGTCCGACAGTACAAGTCAAGATGCTTGTAGGATTTATTCAATAGTACTTTAAGTGGATTGTTCTTTTTTTTAGATTTTTTCAATCGATTATTATACAACATTTTGCTATCCCTCGTCGCGCTCGCGGCGCAATACAAAATTTAAGTCATTAACGCAATTTTCTGGAAATGACTGTCACAATTTTGTGCACTCAAGGATCTCTAATGACTCGTTAATAATGAAACTAGCAACAGTGCTCTGATTTAATAGTGAAGAGTGGCCAAAAGAAATGAAAGATCACTTCTTACACAAGAATCATAACAACATAGTTCAAAAATTTAATCCTAATCGAAAACCGAAATACAGCGACGAGAGTCTGTCCGTAATCGGAATGAATGAATAAATGAATGAATTTGAATCAGTTGATATAGCGAAAATTAGTGAAAAGTGAAGTAAAAAGTGGTAATTGATTATGAAAGTACAAAATGTTTGTTAATTATGGGATTATCTCCGCAGTAGAGTGATTCTATAAAATCTTAGAATTTTTTTTTATAAAAAAATTAATTCTACACAAAAAGTATTTTAAACTTTTTGCTCGAATCTACAGAATACCGAAATCATCAACAAATAAGCAAATCACATGAATTACCATGAAACCTATATTTTGGTGCCATCAATTTGACTCACCTAAAGCTACCCAATCCAAACCTTTGAGCATGTCGTAGCCATCCCCACCGGCGTGCAAAAAGTCTGGAGCAAGGATGACGTAAGTTTCATCATCATCAAGAGGATTGAAACTTGGAATTTTACATGAACTACATCTCGCATAAGCAGCCACCACTCGAGCGCCATTGGGCCGAGATAAATCGTAATGCACCTAAGAATCCAAGTTGATAAACATTACTTAACTGCCAGAAAAATAGTTATTGGAAAATATTATTTCTCTGTCAAAAACTAAATAAAAAGGGAACAAAAAAGATTTCTTCCTCAGTTTTTCTTTCATTAAAAACACGCAAAACAATGGTTTTTTCCTTTTTGTTATGTTTATAATTAGTGATTATTATAATGTATGTCACTTTCTTAGTTTTACCTGCAGTCCAGAAAACTGAAGAAAAGCTCCTTTGAGATCAGCGGTGTAATTATACACTAAATCGTGAACACTCCACTCCAGTACTTCTTTCAATTGTCGCCCGGTAATTTTAATTTTTCCTAATCCATTATTGAACGGCAGAACCGCCATAACATCGGTCATCGTAATCTTAAATGATGTAAACAATGGAATGGTGATTAAAAAATAGCCGACTGATTCGCAATAATACATTAAAGTACAAAGGCACAAATTTCGTTTTTGACGAATATGAAGTTTACTGGCTCAGCCGAAGGCGAGAATGGAGAAGGTGTTAAAAGCGAAATTTATGACCAAGATTTATATTATATATTACTCCGTGCAGAAGTCGAGTTTGCAGCACGCCGCGCGGAGTGCAGCGAGTGGTACATTCGACTTATTGCACGGGGTGATATAAACTCATGAATTTGCAATATACTCTACAGTTATCTGGGTAGCCCCTAGATTTGCGAAAAAAATATCAAGTGATTTTGTTTTGCAGAAAATTTCATTTTCTTCAAAAAATGTTTCTCGACATTTTTCTCCAAACTCTTCAGTCCCAGATAGATTTTTTGACAACAGACTGCAGAAAATTTTCAGATCTCCATTTTCATCATTCTCTCAATGAATTTGATCCTTCATTGACATTATTTTAATGAACTCACATTCTCTGTCGGTTTTTTATTAAGTGACGTTCGAATAGTTCCACTACTGTGAATGGCAATAGGCGCATCAGTCCAGCCCTGGCCTTTCCCATATTCCATTGCATTCTGAGAAATGAAATGAACAAAAATGATAAATCTAATAAAATATGGACTATTTTCATTTGATAACAGGACATAATGTCATGACTCAATATCCGAAATAATTCCTACTTGACTTAATTTAATGTTTAGTCTTTTCTACGTTCACAAAACCAGATACCCATTGTCGGAGATAATATAAGAAATATAAGAAACCAGCGGTTTCAGTACAACAAAATATGAAAATAACATATTCCGTCTTGGCGAGCGTAGCATGACATTATCTCCCCCTTGGAAGGGACGAAAAACGCCATTTTCCGCCTTCACCGTAACGGAAAATGATGTTCTAACGACGGAAGGTAAAATAAAGGATCCTTTTCCACGTGGGAAGGGTCTAGATTAACCATCGATCACTCGCATCCGGCCGCCAGTCTTCATCCGCCGTACGGATAGCGCAGCGCCGCTGGGTTAAACCGAGCGCGCTGTTGCCAATTGGCGCTTACCGCTATGCGCTCCTTCCAAGTGGGGCAGTGAATGTAGCAACACTGTCGCTCGAGTGGTCGACAAGGACTCACTCGCATCGGGCGCACCAGAATCCGTAAGCGAGAGAAGAATTGGCACTTGTCCCTATCTGAGTTGGGGATAAAGCCATTTGGAATAGAAAAAGACGAAGACTCGCATTGGGCGGCGCAGCGCCGCTTTTCTGTCCGTTCGACGTTTCTTTCCTTTTTTTTAGCTAAACAAATTTCCCAAGAAAAAAACGGACAACGCCAACGCTTGATAAGAGGATTGAACTAGGAATTCCAATTTTTTCAGAATTTACAAGTCGAGAAACACGCTAAAATATCAAAAACGAAAACGGACGGTGCCGCGCTTATTGAGCGAGTGATCGAGAGTTAAATGATTTTTCATTTATCGTCATTTGAATTTTTTTCACTACGAGTCAGCCGAGGACCGTCGAGATAAAAAAATCATTATTTGTTTGCAAACTGCGAAAAATCATGGCTTCATCTTACATATTCAACCATGGCATCAACAATCAGATTTCCGAGGTTGCACTCCTTTCTCCTGCAGTTTTTTGCGTCGCCGTCCAGGAAGACCTTGGTGTACCCCACCGTCTGGTTCTGCAAGGCCTGGATTGCCGGTCGCCATTGCTCCAACTCCTCCAGGATGTCCTTCGCCTGCTCAATCTTCCCATCAACCAACACTGGATGACCAACAATCTTGATAACTTCTCCCCTGGAATCGAAGTCAAGAGTCAAGTTCCCCAGGTACTTGGTGAAGGCGTACGCTTGAACGACGTAGACCTTCCTCCCAGACTTTTGGAGGATTTCCGTCGGGTAAAGTCCCTCCGAGATTTCGAGATCAGGTTCAGTTCCGGTGTAGAGGAACGTGTTGGTGTGACCCCCGATGACGAGATCTATCCCATCGACTTCAGCTGCTATTCTCTTGTCCATGGAGAAGCCGGAGTGACCGAGGGCTATCAGGATTTTCACGCCTTGTTCCTGGAGCCGATGGACTTCCTTTTTGATAGAAGCGATTTCGTCCAAGAAATTGACCTGTCCGGTTTGAGATATTGATTTGGTCTCCGGGGTCAGGTAACCGATCACTCCGATCTTGTGACCATAGGAATTCAGGACGACAGACTTCTGCAATCTTGAGGAGGCGAGTTGCGGCTCGAGGGAGAGGTCCAGGTTGGCGGCGAGAACTGGGAAGGTGGTGGCGTTGAGGAAGGAGACGAGACTCTCTGGACCATCGTCGAAGTCGTGGTTTCCTAGGGACTGAAGTAAGAGAAGACAGTGGATCATATTTGAGTGGAGGTGCATGAGTCGAATTTAAAGGGTCTCCTCAGTAGGGCAAAACGGTGATAGGCGCGCGGGTGAGTGGAGCGTAAAATGGTTAAGTTGGTGAGCATTCAATTTCCTCCTATTCCTCCAGACCATTTCATGGTTTTTAGCAATTTTAACAATCAAAAATGAAATCAACTGTAAATTTCCACTAATTTCCACTAATTTGCCAAGTGGTACATCCACTCCTCATCAGGGCAATTTACTGAATTTGCATCTATGTAACCCCTCAAGTACGACGTCCATGACACATATAGACCCGAGAGCATGTCCTACCGGTCGGCGTCTATGCCATATAGACCCTTTCCGTGATTAATAAAAATTCATTATTTTTCGTACTATTGGAGATATCGAAATTCTAAAAATTTCCCCATGAAATAGATAAAATTATCAACACAATGCGACTCCATTTTTTTTCAAGTTATTTTTAATATTTGTCTTCAATACATGAACGATACGGAACTGAATTCGATGTCAGATGCATTTTCAAACCTCTCGTTTATCGAGCTAATTTTCATAAAAAATTCTGAAATTTTTACCGAACATACTCTATACATTCCTTTATCGAATGATGGAACGAAGTTTCGATTCAATGAATTACTGATTTGTTATTGAGGCATTCCTCACTATTTCAATAGGTCAAAAATTACTTTTGCTCGATTTTCGGATATGTTATAGAAGAGGTTCAGAAATGGTTGTAAACGCGAGGAAAAAAATTTTTTTTTTTCAAAAAGTTATACAACATACAAAATTGAAGATGTCTTTTTAATAAAAGATGTCACTGAGTTTTTCTCGCAACAACACTTGGTCACGAAATGAATCCTTATCTATGTTAAATTATGATGAAACTCACGATAGCATCGGGGGCCAATAGATTTAAAAACTTTGTCACGATTTTCCATCTGTGAACGGTGCACCAAACGGTTCCTTGATAAGTATCCCCAGCATTAAGAAAGAGGGTGGGAATACTCGAAGCTCTTGCTTGTCTTATCAAGGTTGCCAGCCTGGCGAAGCCGCCGTAGCACTTTCCCGCTTTTTTGTCTTTTCCGGAGCAGCTTGTAGACCGCGCCGATGTCTCCTCGAATCTGAAGACAAGAACAATGATATTTTGTCATGACAACTCATTGGAAAAATTTCAACGTAATTAATCTTCTTCTTAAATATAATAAATCGGTTGCCAATTTTTTGTCCGTGATTCAGGTAATACGACGGAATGGATCTTAATGGCATTATCACTGTTATAGTATATTATGTCATCCGGCGATAAAAGTCACATTCGTCAGATAACACTTTTATTGCCGTATAATAATAATAGTAGATTATGTCATTAGGCGAAAAAAATGTATTATCTGACGAATGCGACTTTATATATTATAATCACATTCGTTAGATAATACTTTTATCGCCGTGTAACATAAAATAATTTTCGTGAGAAGACCCGGTAAACCGCGATTCCAACCTCGCTTCGCTCGCTTTGATCGCGGTTCAAAAGTTCAAAAGTATTTTCTGACGAATGTGGACCTTGTGATGAAAATAACTATTTCATCACGCTGTGACGAAAAGTGAACTTTTCGGCACGCTCCGCGTGCCTAAAAGTCCAATTTCCGCCACATTGTGATGAAAAATATTGTTCGTAACTCGTGAAAAAATGTTTTTTAGCTCGTGGGATTATATCACTCGCCTTCGGCTCGTGATATAAACCTCCCACTCGCCAAAAAACACTTTGTTGCACTCGTTACGAAATATACTATTTTGTCACTGCTGCTACGTTCACCTCGTAGTGAAAAGTGGCTTTTCGTTTGCCCATACACAAAAAAAGCCACAGCTGGTCACCCGTTGAACATAATATCACTGACAAAAAATATGGTTCTTCATGTGTATGACAAAGATTTTTGTGTTGTGTTGTACAGTTGATTATATAACCTGTGAGAGTTGGCTCACATGTACGTGTTCCCGGGTTTAAAATTCGGACGGGTGGAATGGGCCTTTCTATTGTAACGAAGCTTGACGTGCGCTTCATATCACTGAGATTCCATAAATTGTGATGCATGAAAAATTATAAAACGCATGAAAAATTGAAGCTACACTATCCAGCTTTCGAATGGCATTGGTGGAATTGGATTATCTGTCACAGTTTTGGAATTATCCAGTTTTGAACAGAATCATGCGTTTTTACTTGGGTCCATATACTTGTATGAACCCCATCCTTGAGGGGTTAATCAAATTTTGCAGTATACTTAAAACGGATTCAGAAAGATGTAAAACAGATCTGAAACTATCTGGAGAAATCTAGCATATTCTCAGCTATAATACCCCAAGACCTTCAAAATTATCGGATATTTCCCGAATGTTTTGTTGCATAGCAACAAGAGGGATCAGTTTTGCAGATTAAAATCCCGAGCGCGTAGCGCGAGGAATTTTACTGCAAAGCTGATCCCGATCGTTGATATGCAGGAAAACTTGAGGGAATTATCCGATGAATTTTGAAGGTCGAGGGGTATTCGGAGGACAATTTCTTCAATTCTGATTTTGACCAAACAGAGTGCAGTATTCGGAGTCACGTGACGCGTTACACTGATAATTTCCCCGGCTGCAGGGAAATTATCAGTCTGATAATTTACCTGCAGCCGGGGAAATTATCAGTGTAACGCGTCACGTGACTCCGAATACTGCACTCTGTTTGGTCAAAATCAGAATTGAGGAAATGGTCGAGAATATTTTTGGGTTTTCTACAAAATTCCCGAATATTGTTGAGTTTTTGGGGATATTCTCGGCTTTTTTACAAGGTTCAAAAACATTCTTGGGCTTTCAAGAAAATTGGAGGAAATTCTACCGTTTTATCGAAAACTTCAAAAAATTGGCGTTTTTCTTTCTTTTGAGTATACTGCGAAATCTGATTAAGATTTTAAATGATTAGGTCGCACCATTCTACCTGGCCGAGTTTTGAATCCGGAACCTCGAGCATATGAGCCAACGAACTTACTGACTGCGCTGGTCTAACCGGGGCTTTTTTCTTTAATGGGGAAAATTCTGTAGTGAAGTAATCAAACAGTTTAAGTCAATTCCATTCTAGCCCCAGTTTTCGATGAATATTTCAATTTCTAGAGAAGTTAGCAAAATTTTCCTAAAAATCTTACAAAAAGATCATACAAAAATTTTGCTATCTTTCATAAATTCCGAGATATTCAACAAAAACTCAACTGGGAGTTTAGTTGACTTAAACCGATTGACCACTTCACTACTGAATTCTTGGATTTTAATAGAAATTTCTTAAAAATCGTAAATTTAATGGGAAAATTTTGAACATTCTAGAGTTTTCAAGAAAATTTTGGATTTCCTGAAAAATTCATGAATACTCGGAGGTTGAAAAAAATATATAACTGTTTCTGTTCTTTACATTTTCGTTCTAATTTCACACAAAAACGGCTGATGAAATGAGCAACGGCATTTCCACCGGATTTTTACGGTCAATCAGTTTAGGGTCTCCATTCCACTATACACAGTCAAGACAGTCCTATGGTGCGGTGTTATTTTAACACCGCAACTCCACACGAAAAACGGCGTGAACTCATTGGGACACCGATCGGTGTCAATTTAACATCAAATTTCTTACCGTTTAGGTTATAATGCATTGTGCTGCGCAATAATAGTATATTTCAGTACATGTGGGGCAATATCGTCTTTAACGTGTGTGGGGTTTACAGCATGAGCCGAAGGCGAGTGATGTAACCACACACGTTAAGGACGAAATTTCCCAACAAGTACTGAACAAAATTTTATGTCACGAAGCCTAAAACCGGCTGAATTAGACACGAGACGCGAAGCGTCGAGTGTGTAATCCAGCCGGTTTCAGGCATGAGTGGCATAAATTATATTTCATAAAAGTTCTCCACGCCCTAGTATCGAAATGTACTATCTTGAAAGTAGAACCTTCATAAAAATTCTACAACTTTCTGGAAAAATTTAGAACATGTTCAGGCTTTCTAAGCAATTCAAAAAAATTTGAAGTTTTCCAACGAAATGGAAAAAAAATTCAGGTGTTCTAGAATCCTCGAAAAAATTCAAATGTTTTTATTCTGCCCAGGCGAAACCGGGTCGCAGACCTAGTTCTATTCTTTTTAGGCAATTCAACTTCTAGATTTTAGGGACCATTATCCCTTTTAATCGGTACGTTTCGTTGGTTAGACATTACAAGGTAGATATTATAGAAAAAAACTGGCTGCTATCCCTGCTAATTCGCACGATTCGTTCAATAGTGGGAGCTGATTGTAAAAATTATAAAATTAGAGTCACTTTTTGAGTTGTCACTGATTGATGGCCATTTTTACCAATCGCAGAGCTACTTGATTAATAATTACCTAGAGTGCATATCATTCGTATGCACGATCCTCAATCTAAATCCATCATCTCCATCCAAAGGACCACTCAGGGCACTTCCAAAGAAGAAAAAAATAACGGCTAACTCGAAATATTTCATTTTTCAGTCACTGAATGAATTACCGGAAGATCACAATTTTCTTCTAATTATAATAATCAAGTTTTTTTTCTATGAATCTAGTAATGAAGTTTTTGTACAATAAATAAATTGAGCAGAACCACAGAACTCGTGATTATACTGCTGAGTCGACTAGAAAAATGAATCTCCGATTACTTTCGTACTCAATGATACAGTAGAATTTATATCTATTATTAGTCAAACGAATGGGTTTTTTTATGACGTCCACTATTAATTATGGAGCCAAATTCATAGTTTTACATTTATTCCTGATGTGAACAATTGAATTTTGATAACTTTTATAATAAAAATCACATCATGTTAATGGTTGATAATGGGAAAAAATAGGACACATATCACTGACTCATGTGATACCGACAGAATTGTCCACATATCAGTGCATGACTCATATGATGACAACATCAATAATATTATTGTCTATCGGTTTGGATAACCTTCACATTAACTGAGAGTTAATGGTCTTTTTTTCGACAAGAAGAGAGAAAGGTATTCACTGCTCTTTCGACAATAGCGAACTTGCATGGTTATTTAATTTTTTTCCTCAAATATATGCTCCCGAGAACGCACATTTGTCAAGGAAAACAACGGACAATATTTTAATAATTATTTATTTGCTTTCAAAAATTGCATTTTTAAACGTTCTAAAAAGGCCTGTTACTTTAACTCGCCGGAAACCGATATTTTGATGGCAGTGTCTATTCACACGCTCCACGGTAACTTTGACCGTGGACATACAGGACGTCACGCATGAAAACATCGTATAGGATATCCTATAGGAAATCCTATAGCATTTTTTCATACGTGGTTTTCCCGTGGATTCAAGGTAATTTCTACCGTGGATAGATAGGTGATCGTGGACCCTCAACTTTTACTTCTCAAATTAAATCTAGACAATAAAATAGACGCATCGAATCAATTGGTAAGTGATATGCAGATAGTAGACCAGTAAATAATTTTCTCAAAATATTAATTCGTTGAATACGAATATCAGTCTAGATTAACGCAAATAAAAAATGAAATAAATACTTGACTAAACGCAAATAAAAGATGAAATAAATAGTTTTTTACATTTTATGTGAACATTTTCTCAACAATATTCATATTTGTCTAATGGGGTCCGAGTACAGGAGTGGGTGCCGAAATATAGTGCAAATGATTTTAAGGATGATTTCCTAACCAGGGGAGACTCTTAGACCCCACTGGACAATGTTGACCCAACTCTGGTTTTCAACTCTGGATCCAGAGTTCAAAACCAGAGTTCATATATTAGCGGAGATGTCAGACAAGATGTGAGTGAAAATCTACCGTGGATCCACGGTAAAATTGACCGTAGAGCATGCGAATAGACACTGCCTATTTTGGTGTTACGTCATCAAGCGGTTTAGTACAATTGCTGGAATGTACGAACATATGATGACCGTAATCGTGTGTTCGTAATCTGCGTAAAATGTGATGTTACGTACAGCGAGTAGCCGAACTGTGCCTTTTTCATTTACAAGTAAACGAAATTGCACTTTTCGGCACGAGGTGGTCGGAGCAGGAGCGTGAAAATACAGTATTAGGTGTATAACTTAATTTTTACAGATTTTTTCTTCGAGCTTAAAATTATTTTTAAAATAGAAATATACATATTCGCGGTCTTTTCTGGTTTTGAAAGAATCGGACAAAAGGTTTCAGAAACGTCCCCTTAAAGAAGATTCTTCCGTGTATTTGATGGGACATGAAGGGTGTGCTTTATTACGAACTCCTGGAAACAGATCAGACGGTGATTGCGGAATGCTACAGCTGACAACTGAATAAACTGAGCGAAGAACTTGATCGAAAAGGCCATTTACTGGGCAAGGAAGCAGGCAAGTCATACTGCTGCATTGGAATTCTAGAAAATTCTAGACATTTCGAGGTAATTCGAGAAGTTTCTTGAAATTTCGAAAAAATTAAAGGAGTTTCTAGCAATTTCGAAGAAATTCAGGGAGTTTCTAGAAAATGTGAGGGAATTCAAGGAGTTTCCAGAAAATTTGGGGGGAATGCAAGGAGTTTCTAGGGAATTCGAGAAAGAAGGAAAGACCATGGACGGTATCCACATACAATTACACCTGTATCGAAGATACAGCGGTCTGCAATTTTTAGTACGAGACCGAACGCGCGCTACAGCGCACTGTAATTGTAACAATCATAATTGAAAATCTCAAAATTGAATTAATCCTGAATTAAATTTGCCGTCTCAGACGACTGGAACCAATGAGGAATAAGCGTGACAGACTTGCGAAATATCGATAGTTATCGACTTTAAGTGTGTTTTTTTTAGAATAGGAAATTAAGCAACCTCTTTAATGCCTAAAGGAGGTTAGGCGGTGTTTGAGGTGAATTTGAGAGTGAATTTCTGTGGTTCCCGGTAGCTTAGTCGGTAAGAGTGCCCGGACTCTTCAATGACTTGAAATTGTCCAACGATAGAGTTTATTATGTCATGATGGGAGACTTGAACTGCAGAAACACTTGCTACGGGGACTACACATCAAATGACAGAGGTAGAAATCTCAGACTCTGGGAACTCGCTAATGAGCAGAGACTTAAACTTAACATAATCCCCCCCAATGATTACACGTACATTGAATCCCAATCATATTTAGATCTTGCACTAGTAGACAGTCGTTTAAATTTTTCAGATCTAGATAACGACAGAATTACAACCAAAATTTACGATAGCGATCATAAAGCTCTCATTACTCAATTAGAACTCGATGATGATTTAGCACTAGAAATCGATGAATCAAATGAAAAACAATATTCCCTATACAAAAACACAAATTGGGAAATATTCACTAAAAAATTATCTGATAATTATGAATTGATAATACCCAATAACAGAAACCTTTCAAACCTTGAAATTGATGAATTTATCAAGGAAATGTCAGATTATATTTTGGAGACAGTGGAGAGTACAGTCCCAAAAACCAGTCCCTCTGGAAATATTAGGAAATATTCAAACAGAAAAATTAAAAAATTACACAAAGATAAGTCTAAATTACTAACATTATATAACAATTGTTTGAAAAAAGACCCTAATAAACAAAAACGCCAAACGAATGATATTCACTCCCTTCTACAATCATGTAGGAAAGAATTAGACAAAGAATTTAACAAATCAGTAACAAAACATTGGGAAAATATACATAAAAAAATAAATTACAGAGATACCCAAAAATTTATGCCAACAATAAATAATATTTTTAGACCAAAAAATAAACAAATAATTAATGAATTAAAAATCAGCAACTCTGATGACTCTCTCCTGAGAGAAGCTGAGTGCGACTTACAAAATATACCTCTTATTAACAACGAATTTATTATTAACAATGAAGCAGATATATTAAATATATTCGGAGCACACTATCAAAGAATTAACTCTCCTCGATACCTTAATAATAATACACGATTAAAAGAATTAATAGATAATAAAATCGAAGAGTTTAAAAACAAAATGACTCAAGACGAAAATAATAATATTACAGTAACAAAATTTGACGATAATAACAAAGCAACTTCAGCAAACAACAATGCAACAATAGAAAAATATTTTACCGACATAATTACAGTAAAATTAATTTTGAAATTCCTCCCAAATAAAATTTCATCAGGAACTGACAAAATTCCACCAATAGTTATTAAACACTTACCAGAAAAAATGATAATAGACTTAACAAAAATATTTAACAATGCATTAAACAATTACTATTTTCCTAAACAATGGAAAACCGCAATTGTAATCCCAATCCATAAAAAAGGTAAAAACTTAACAGAACCGGTTAGTTATAGACCGATAAGTATGACTCCAGCTCTTAGTAAAGTCTATGAAGCAATTATTAATAATTCAATATTAACAATAACCAAATCTAAAAAAATTATCCCAGATAACCAATATGGTTTTAGACACCATCATTCCACTTTACATGCAGTCAACAAACTTTTATCAGACGTAAATGAAGCACTGTTCAACAATCAAATGGTTGGAGCAGTGCTTCTCGACTTGGAGAAAGCTTTTGATTCCGTCTGGCTAAACGGATTAATATACATCTTGATTAAAAATAATTTTCCAGAAGCCCTGATTAGAACTATCTGGAACATGATCCATGGTAAAAATTTCAAAATTATTAACCACAACAATAATTTAAGTAACATATTTAATATAACGGAGGGACTACAACAGGGGACAATCAACTCTCCATGTCTCTTCTCTATTTTTACTTCACACATGATAGACTCATTTGAATTAAACAGTAATAACAATACATTTTCAATAGCATATGCAGATGACAGAATAATATATGTTGCTGGTGATAACGGCACAGTAATAACAAATAAATTAAATAAAATAATAGATAAAGTCAACAATATGTACTCTATGTGGAATTTAAAAGTAAATCCACTGAAAAGCGAAACGATTTTATTCCGAAATTCCGTTGAAAATATGTCTAAGAAAAAGAGAAACAGCATTAAAGAATTTGAAATTAAAATAAAAAATCACACAAATAATGAAGAAACAATCATCCCAAATAGAGTAATTGTTAAATATCTTGGCATCAATATTGATAACCTAGTCAGATGCTCAGATCATTTTGATATACAAGTACAAAAAGCTAGGAATAGATATAAATCACTGGGATATCTTTTCCATAACAAAAATATAGAAAAAAGAGCGAGAGTTATCTGTTATCTGTTATTGATAAGACCACTCCTGACATATGGCTCAGAAATTTTGTGGAATTTAGGGGCCAATCAGTCGGAGATTCTGAGAGTATTTGAGAGAAACTGCATTCGTACTTGTTTATTTATGCATAGATCACATCACAGTAATTATCAACATCAAGTATCTAACAAAG